GGGGGGGCGAGTTGGAGATATATTTTGGTTATCACAGCTGGAGGGGGTGGCTGCTACTGACATCAAATAGGAGGAGGCCAGGGATGCTGCTAAACATCTACCCTGTACAGGACGGCCCTCAAACAGATCACCAGTGTCAAAGTGTCCCTCATGGCCAGGCTGAGAACCCTGCCCTGAGGTGTTAGCTCCAGTTGCCACACAGAGGTAGTTAGATTTTCACAGCAAGCCCATGGGCAGACAACAATGTCTAACACAGAAGGATGCGTGCTGGGGTTCCTGGCAGGAGAGACATCATAATGTGCACCCTTCGTGTGTGAAGGGAGCTTTACAGTTCACAAAGCACTTTGTAAAGCCAGCGTCACAACAGAAATATTAGTTCGTCTCCCCAAATCCTGTTCCCAGGGTGGCCTGAAGGGCCACTCCTCAGCTCCCGGGAAGCGGCAGTTCCAAGCTGATGGATGCCCCTGATGGACATGTGCTCACCTTCCATTCTTGGCTCCTGCAAGGCTGGTGTGTCCACACCCACAAGAGGAGAGCTGGGCTCAAGGGGGTGAGATTACATGGCAGAGCTGGCGTCTTTGCAGGCCTCCACGCTGCCTCTTTACACACAGGCAGGCTGACCTGGGGTATCAAGGCCGCTGCCTTTTGGAAATTCTCTCCTTCCCCGTCCCTGACTTAGAAGGTACCCCCCTGCTCCCTGCCTCTCCATAGCCTGCTCTGCTTAAGGTTCACCAGCCCCGACTCCTTCAGCCCGCTCTAATCGTACCTCCACGGAACCTCTTCGATCTCACAGTACAGCTCATAGCTGCTTAGTAAGGCTGTAAATTACTTGAGGACAAGGCCTCTTTCATATTCCCACCCTAACAAGGGGGGCGGCATTTTCTGAAGTAAGGGTAAGGAAATATGGATCGAAGGGCACAAGTGTGCTGATGGAGATGGAGTGTCTACAATCAGGGTAGCCTGGCAAACCCCAGGCCCCCTGGAGCTCAGTTTCTGCCTGTTGCTCACTGATGCCCTGGTCAGCTGAGGCAGGCTTATGGGCTCAGGTAACCAGGGCGCCTGAAGGCCTGCCTTCCTCCACTGAGTTGTAAATTCATCTTCTCTCCCAGAGAGAGAAAGTCCACCCCAGCCAGCTGGCCACAGAAGCTGGTTCTGGAGAGGAGCCGCATCTAGTGATTAAGAGTCACAGAGATCTGAGTTCAAATTCTGGTCCTTCCACTTCCTAGCTGGCTGGCCTCAGGCAAATTACTTAACCTCTCTGAGCCTCGGATATCTCACCTATGAAAAGGGAATCATTCCTATCTCCAAAAGGTTGTCTGGAGAGCGTATTCGAAGCCCTTAGCACTGCAAAACCTGGCACAGAGTACGTGTTCAGTGAATAGTAGCGCATCCCTCCAACGCCAGCACTCTGGCCATATACTTTCTCTTCTGGTTTTATCTCCCTTGGGACAGAGAGTCCTGACCTTTGCTTGTTTTTCTGGTGCACACCTAGTGGTGCACATCCCAGGCCAATATGTGAAGCCGAGCTCTAACCTGGGGGCCTTGGCAGACCACCTTGAACTTGGCTGAGGAATGGTGGCAAGGAGACCAGACACACTGTTCTTTTCTGGCCTGTGGGTGTGTCTTGGGGCTGTCATGCTTGTGCCCACTGCCACGCAAAGCAATTCCTGTCCTCCTGAGCTGCCTCACTGGCCTCACCTCCTGCCATTGGGAAGCTGATGAAGCCAGGCCTTTGGTGCACAGCCGGGCTGGAGCCTGTCAGGGAGCTGCCTGTGTGTGTTCACAGTGGGGGGGCTGGGCCTCTCAGGTAGCCTCATTTCTTGGCTATGGCTCTGGCACCAGCTTGGCACTGTGGGTGGAACCCATGTGCCAGGCGGCTTCCTTAGATCTGGCTGGACATGGTAGCCCTGACCCACCTCCTCTTTGGCTTATTCAAGGCCTCATGGCAGTTCCAGCTGAATCTAAGCCCTGAGGTCCCTACTGAAGGCTCACAATGGTGTGTGCAGATAAGTGTGCCAGGGTCCCAGAGACAGACTGGACCAGAGGACTTGGCAGGGCCAACCCCACCTTCATTTTAAATGGGGGAATAGGAGAGTAAAATAGAACGACTTTATTTTTATTACCCTTATTTAGTATAAGAAAAGAACAGACTAGCTCATTGCTGAACCTGCTCCTATCACAACCTCAAGACTATTTATCCATTCTTGTACCTTAGGCCACCTTTTGGGGTTATTTTCCATCTTCCTGTTCTGCAGATCTTTTAGTGGGGTCTGTGTAACTATTCCAGTATTTTTAATTTTATTTGATAATGCCTTCCTTTCATCATGGCTCTTAGAGATGGTTTGCTGGCCCAGCGTTCTAGGTTGAGTTTCTTTATCTCAGTGCTTTGATGTTGTCACTTCAGTGTCTCCCTGTGTCACTATTAAAAACCTGTTCTCAAGCCCATGATCATTCCTTGGTGAGTCATCTGCCTTCCTTCTTGCTGATTATAAGATTTTCTCTCTGACTGATGTGAACTTGGAGAGAAGTCCCCGAGAGACTGGTCACCTTCTATCCCCAGGAATGGAACACATGTGCTCAATGAAACTTCACGAGGGAGACTGAGGCTGCTGGAGGAGGTCATTGGGAAGGCTGAATGGGGCACAGAGCATCCATTACTGGAAGTGTGTGAGCATGGGCTGGGGAGAAATTCCCTGTCACATGAGGTCCGCCACAGTTACCTTGATTGCCAATGACCCTGGAGCTCTTTCAGTGGCTTCTGCCTTCCTCTCCCTGCACCAGGCCTCTGCCCATCTCCTTTGAAGAGTCCATGACCTTCCCAATCCAGGTGATTCTGGCTCCTCTGGCCACACACCACCGTCTTTTGCTGTCCCAACTCCTGGAGTGTGGTATAGGGCCTGTGCCCCAGAGCTCAGCACACTAGTCCCCAGAAGCCTTTGGTCCCCAGGTTATTTCAGAGTGCCGATGGTCTCTGTAGGTGGCATGGTCTTTTCTGCTTGCTCAGGATTTACATTTAGTCTAGATACCTAGGAGTGGGAGGTGGAGTCAGGAGGCCCCATTCAACCTGCTGCCAGTGTTGGACACTCATATTCTGATTCTGCCTCCTGCTCAGAGTGCAGCTGCCCCCTCTCCAATCCCACTGTGAGGACCTCCCACTGTCCCGGGGGGGTTGTGGAGATGGCAACCATTGGAGCAGGGTCACTGGAGGCCTTGAAGGGATTTGGTCTGCTGAGTGTGGGGACAGAAGTGAATGACTTGGCAGTGTTCTGGCAGCAAGTTGCCTGGCCAATTTGAAAAGACATGAAGGCAGGAAGGCAATGGCCCTGGGTACTTCCAAACACCAGAGGCCCTGCAGACGTGCCTCTCACACCCAAATTATCCCAGTGACCACTCTCTTCCCTTGCACCTGGGCAACTGGTGGGTTTACATGTGTATATGTGGGGCACAGATGTGGCTGGGTAGGGTGTGTGTTGCCCATGACCCCATCCTTGGTCTGCATGCCTATTAGGCATGTCAGGGAGGTCCAAGACACTGACCCCACCCCCGTGTAGAAGGAAGGTCATGTTCCAGTGTTGGAGGGCCTGAGATGTCAGGGTTATTTTGTTGGGGGGCCTGAGATGTCAGGGTTATTTAAGAGTTATTCTGTTGCAGACCAATGATCATTTCTGTATGTTAGCGAAGAATCTTGGGCTGGAATTGTGCTAGGGAGAAAATGTGTGTGTGGCTGGTTGTATCCTACACTTTCTACCTGGCAGTTCTAAGGTAAGTCAGGAGCATGTGGGTTGAGAAGGACACCATCTCTTCATGCATTTGAGCACTTTGCTTCCATGATGACTTTGCTCCTGCTGGGGAAGAGAGGAGGGTGGAAGGCAACACCGCCACCCATTGGACTCCCTGTCATTCCCTGTGATGGGGTTTTGTGGGGAACTGCTGTCCCACAGTGGGCAGGGGTCTTTGACCTCAGTTGGGTCCAGACATGGATGCCAGCAGACCCTGGTGGGAGCCTCATGCTCACAGCTCTCAAGTCTGCATGCTCATGAGTTGGGGCAGCTGCCAGCTCTGGGCACTGGGAGAGTGGGCAGGGCTCTATGATGCCTGCAGCTTTTGCTGCCACAGCCCTGCATCCACAGCCTAGCTGTGTCCTTGGCTGTCCCAGGAGGGGTGTGTTAGCACAGGAGCAGGCCTCCGGTCCCCCTCCCTGCTTCCCCTCCCCGAGGGACTCTCACATGTAGGGTTGGCCTCGCTGTACCTCTCCACTTGGTGGACAACAGTCCCTTTGTGGCTTGTAGGCTGATTACTTTGCTCATGAGCTGAAGGGCACGGAGAGACAGAGTGGTGAGAACAGGGGAATGGAGAGGACTTCCCTATAGTTCCTGGGCTATGGGACAATGGAGCTACCCGATGCAGTACTCCTTGAACTTGACGGTGCCTGAGAAGCACCGGGGAACATGTTCAAATGCAGACTTTGACTTGGGAGGTTGGCCTGAGACTCTGCATTTCTAACAAGTTCCCATGTGATGCTGCTGCTGCTGCTGGTCCAAAGTCCTAGAGTGCTCCCCACTGGACTTGCCCTGGAGGAGTGCCCAGGCACTACAGTGGCAGTTGGAAAGGTACACAAGGAAGTGAGAATGAGCGACCTGACCCAGATGGCATTTCCAGAAGGGCTCTTCAGAGATGTGGAAAGATGAGTCTTCATCAGAGTGGCTGAGTTTGAGACTGGACCCCTCACACTTTCGCTCCCAGGAGAGAGCTCACAGTGGAATTAGAATTTGAATCCCAGCTCTGTGGCCCGTTTGCTGCATGGCCTTAGACAGGTCATTTTGCCTCTCTCTACCTCAGTTTCTTCATCAGTAAAGTAGGGGTGAGAATGCCTGCCCAAAAGGCCATGGTGAGGCTGAAATGGGATAAGGTATGTCAGGTACCTGGCCCAGTACCTGGTACATAGCAGGCTCTTAATGAACGTTTGCATCCCCTAAGACTGCAGTCCTCTCTCCTTGCAGGTGAATGAAATTTACCATGACGAGTCCCTGGGGACCCACATTAACATTGCCCTTGTCCGCCTGATCATGGTTGGCTATCGACAGGTAAACCCCCTTGTCAGCGGGCAGGCTGTGGAGGGGGAAGGGGCCTGGGGCCAGTGCATCATCCCAGCTGCAGTGTTGCGGAGGGGACAGTACCTAGGGAACATTTGTCTTCAGAATCAGAACCTGGGGCCATTAACATTGAGGCTTCAGTGGCAGAGGCATTGGGGATGGTAAGCAGGGACTTCTGGGTTCCCTCCAATCTGATATATGGACAATCCTATATCCTTACAGCTGAGGCCCCTCTCCTTGAGGAATTGATGGGGAAAGTGGGGCTTAGAGAGTGGCAGTGACCAAGGCAAGTCCTGCTGTGGTTGGGCCCAGGGGCCTTGGACTGCCATCAGTTGCTATTCTCCCCCAGATGAGGGTAACAACCGAATTTTCCTTCAGGAGCTGTTGCAAAGATCAAATAAGACAATGAATATGTTAAGAGGAAGAGCTCAGAATCACTCTGCCTTGTGGGTTAGCTGAGGGATTAGATAATGTGTCGGGTTCTTAGCAGACAGGTGTCCCTGCACAGGGCTTGGCACGGAACATTCCCTAAAGTAGGAGGGCTGTGTGCCAGCAGCAGCCAGAGTCAGTGACCTCGGGACAGCTAGTGACCTTGGGACAGGCACTGCAGTTCCTAGGGCTGCATGAAATGTCTGTGACAGAGTGTGACTGTAAGCGCTCTGCAAGCACAGGAAGCTTTGGCTACCCCCAGTTTCCCACATGGGCACACTGAGGCAGAGTTCTCCTCTGCCCGTGGGATTGCTGCTGTCTGAGGGCTCCAAGCAACCTCTGTACTGTTGACATCTCTGGCCCCCGCAGTCCCTGAGCCTGATTGAGCGCGGGAACCCCTCCCGTAGCCTGGAGCAGGTGTGTCGCTGGGCGCACTCTCAGCAGCGCCAGGACCCCAGCCACGCGGAGCACCACGACCACGTGATCTTCCTCACCCGGCAGGACTTCGGGCCCTCAGGTATGCAAGGTACTGTATTCGCCTTGGCCAGGTGCGTGCAGCTGCGGGGCAGAGGCTGAGGCTCGGGGCTGTGCTCGCCCTGGGGCCACCCCCAGTGGGTTCAGGGGCCAGGTTTCCTGTCAGCAAAGAGGTCTGTGGGACTTTAGAGACAGGACCAGATGGACGGGTGGACAAGCTTTGCAATGATTTCTTGGGGACCAGGAGAAGCGAGGGAGTCCCTACACTGGTCCCCGCTGTCTTGATGAGCCTGCAGGTGGCTCTGTGTTTGCCATCCCAGAGCCCGGCTGTTTGAAGACCCTCAGAGGTCTTCAAGATGCTTCTGCTCACATTGTACGCATCTGTCCTCATCACAGGTCGTGGGTACCTAGTGGGGCTCGTGTGGAATTTGGAAAGGAAGTCCATGCTCTACCCGCAGCTGCGCGCCTCTCTAGTGTAGTGATCCAAGCTCACTTCATCTCCCTGGGTTCTCCTAACTGCCAAATGGGAAAATTAATAGGATTTTCCTTCCTCCGTTCCAGCTGCTGAAAGGGCCGAGGGGTGCATGAAATGTCTGTGACAGAGTGCGACTGTAAGCACTCTGCAAACACATGAAGCTTTCACTACCCCAGTTTTCCGCATGGGCACACTGAGGCGCCGAGTGGTGAAGAGGCTTGCCCGTGTCCCACTGTAGAGAGGAGGTGGATCTGAGCCTCAGTTTGGATGTCTTGGCTCTGAGTTGAGGGCTTTCTAGTTTTTTCTGGTTTGATGCTAGAAGTGAGTTGACCAGCCATGCCTCTGGCCCAGAGGCCTCCTTGTCTGAATCCCTGAAGCCCCAAATGTGGGCCTGCATGCACACATACAGATACAACACACGTATAAACACACAGACATACAAGTACACACAAACAACACAGATACACATACACAGACACATTAACACACACGCATACTCAGACACACACTGCATGTACACATACACAGACACCTGTACATGTGTGTATCTGCACCCCATGTAGAGAATAGCTCAGACCTTCAGGACAATAGAGGCCCCAGGAGCCTCTTCCCACCGTAGCCTCTCATTATTTACTATTAGCCCCCAAGCCATCTCAAATAAAAGGACACTTCGGCAGTTCTAAAGACAGGGCCTACCTGTCGGGTAGCTGCAGGCCCAGGCAGGGAGCACTCTGTCCCCTCACCTCCTCCTCGGACGCCTTTCCCAGACAAGTCTGTACCCCAGGCCATGACTAGGCCCCAGGGGAGGCTGGGAAGCAGGCCCCTTACAGAACAGGCCTCGCCCACAATTGCTGCTTAGCAAATGTTGGCCTGGTTGTTGCTAGTACATCCCAGCCCTGCTGCGCTGCCTATGGCTCCCTGAGGCCTGCTCAGCTGTGCCTGCACCCTTGCTCATGTTCTCCCTACCGTGTGCCCTCTCCCGCACCGCTGGAGAGTTGTCTCACCTGTCCTCCAGGCCCAGCTCTGTACCACCTGAGTCATTCCTGGTGACCCTCAAGCCCTTCAGTAGAATCCATTCCCTTCCTCCAGATACCCCCTGCACCGCCCCCTATGCTCCTCGAACTCTGGCCCTGCAGGCCACACCTAAGCGAACCTCTAACCCCAAGTCTGCCTGCTAAGCCACCTGTTCCTGAATGTGTGGGTGTGTGGCAGGGAGGGGGTTGGGGGCTTGAACCTGTTTCCTCTGCTTCCCCCATAGAATCTAACGCAGTACCACCCCTAATCCCACATTAAAAAGACAAACAACTTATTTGTTGATTGGCCAACTGACTGGCTGGCTGGAGGGCTGTGGAAGTTGGGCATGAACAGTTTTGGTCCTGTCTGGAAACCCCACTGCCTGTTTTGGAGGAGTGGCCGGCAGGTGCAGGGAGAGTGCAGGCCAAGAAAGAAGCCGTATGGCCTTTTGTTACGGGGCAGCTTGGCTCAGGTTGCTCTACTGCAGGTGGGACTTTTTACAAAGATGCTTCTTACTCCAGGGACCCTCTAACAGTGGACCGGTCATGATGTCCCTGTGGCACAGACCTTGCCTGTCTTATCTCACTGTGCATCACTTCTCTCTCTGTCCTCTCCCTCTCCCCACAGGGTATGCACCTGTCACTGGCATGTGCCACCCCCTGAGAAGCTGTGCCCTTAACCATGAGGATGGCTTCTCTTCCGCCTTCGTGGTGGCCCATGAGACTGGTCACGTGTAAGTAGCACTGAGAGGGTGGGCTGTGCTGTGAGCTCTGAGGAGGTCTGTGGGTGTGGGAGGCTTTGCCCCATATCGGGCTCTAGTCCCAGTGTTTCGGGAGATGCCAGAGGAGCTGCCCTCAGAGAGAGCCCAGGGTCCCAGGCAGCAATTCTAGGCCTGCCTTGGGCCCAGCCCCCAAATCCTGGGGTGATGGGGGGCCAGATGTGGCTCTGTCTTTGGACAGGTCAGTGGCAGTGTCCTATCAATAGGCAGTGGTCAGTGTCCTGGGCAGTCTCTATCCCTCTGTCCCATCCACACCTAGAGGCCCTTCTGAGACCTGTTCCACACTGGTCCTTAGTGCACACCAAGCGCTGGCCTGAGCCCATAAACAGGCGCACTCAAACTCAGGCCACCAGCCAGCTTGATCTTTGAGCCTGGATTTGTACTGGGCATAGTCATTCATTCATTCACCCAGTATTTCTTGAGTAGCTACCATGTGCCAGGCACAGTTCTAGGAATGGGGCCTAAGTGGAGAACAGGACAGGGAAGCACATAAGAAGCTACATGCTGGGAGAAAGCCTCTATCCGATGTGTCAGATGGTGACATGTGCTACCATCATGCCTCCAGCCTTGTCTCTCCATAGGGACACGCTCTCTAGCCCACACACAGAATGAGGGCTGTTCGCTGCAGTCTGAAGGACATGGGAAGGAGATGGAGGGGGGGGGCACAGCCTGGGGGGGGCACCCTAGAGAGTGGGTATTCCATCCACAGTCTCTGTGCTCCTCTCCGCATCAACCCTGTCAGCACAGGAGGCCCATGCAGATTTCATCCCAGCTCTGTCCCTCATTGAGCAGATGGCACCTACTCTCTGGGCCTTGGTTTCCTCACCTAAACATGGAGGCTGACACCAGGGCCACTTCTGAGGTCCCTTCCTGCCCTGGAAGCTGATAGTTCCGCATATTCTGGAGCCAGGAGTCTGTCTTCCTTCTTTGGGGGGGTGGGGTGGGGGGAGGCAGGGAATGTCCACTCTTCACTGGACAGAGGCCCCTCCATCTGGAGAGATAAGTTCAAGCTTAGAGGACCATGTGTCTGTCTAGTGGTCAAGGCCACATACAGCCATTTGGAAGTATTTAAGAATTTAGAACCTTTGGGCTTTGACATTAAATATTAAGTATAAAGAGCAGACTTTAACATTTAAACTATCCTATGGTAGGTGCATACCATATGCAAAGCTCTGTGCTAAGTACTGCGGGGTCCTGGAGAGGCTCTGAGTCCCACAGAGGGACTCAGTAAATGAGATTGAACCCTCGAAGGCCTTGGGCGGAAGATAGCTCATGGCCTGCGAACTGTTCATGGTGGTACAGGTGGCTTCTGCTGTGGAAGGTCAGCCATGGGCTGGGCAGCCAGTGAGGGTGTCCTGGGGCAGGAGTGGGGTTTGAGCTGACCTTGGAAACTGAGACGATATGGGTGGGGTTTGAGGAGGGACCGAGTGTCTGGGAGTAGAGAACAGCAGGGGCAAGGCTTTCAGGGAAGCATGAGTCTGGCCCTATTGAGGGACAGCGGGGCCTCAGCCTCCATCCAGAGAGGTGGTCCTCCCCACTGCATGGTTGGGAAACTGAGGCCAGGAGGCACGGTCTGAAGCCTGGTCAGGGCAGGCTTTCCCATTGTTGGCCCAGCTGCCTGTCTTCCCAGGGATGGGCTCCCTGGCATGACTCGAGGCTCCCCCTGTCTCCCCACACCCTCTAGGCTCGGCATGGAGCATGACGGTCAGGGGAACGGCTGTGCCGACGAGACCAGCCTGGGCAGCGTCATGGCGCCCCTGGTGCAGGCTGCCTTCCACCGCTTCCACTGGTCCCGCTGCAGCAGGCTGGAGCTCAGCCGCTACCTCCCGTAGGGCACCTCCACCTTTGGGGCCTGGGGTGGGGGAGCACGCAGCCTGCCGCTTCCTCTCCCCCAAGCCATCTCCCTTCCCAATACCATGCTGCCTCTGAAACACACTCAGTTCAAAGCTTTGCTGGTCAGACAAGTGTTAGACTTGAGTGCAATGCCGAGAATGGGCACAGAGTGGGTTTGGGTGGGGCAGGTGCAGGCAGAGACACTGTCACTAACCTCACACGGCAGCTGACCAGGGCCCAGCATCCTGCGTCCTGTGTGGCAGTCTGAGTTTTTTTTTTACCCTCAGTGCAGTGAGCCCTCCAGTTGTCCATGAACCAATCCTAATCTCGGCCATGATGTTCCTCTAACATGGGCAAAACTGGCCTGTCAGATAGCTACAAGCTGAACTCCTAACCCCAGCCCTGGGTGCCCTTGCCCTGGAGCCCCCCAGACAGTTGTTGGTGGACATGAGGCCCTGTGTGAGATGAGACACAGCACAGGGCAGCAGCCGGATTTCTGCCAGCCTTCCTGCTCCATAAACCCTGAGAATTCCTGCCTCAGCCTGGTTTACCTCCCTGTCTTCACCGGCAGCTCCTACGACTGCCTCCTTGACGACCCCTTTGCGCCCACCTGGCCCCAGCCCCCGGAGCTGCCTGGCGTTGACTACTCAATGGATGAGCAGTGCCGCTTTGACTTTGGCACAGGGTACCACACATGCTCTGCGGTGAGTTCCCACCAGCCAGGTTCTCTGCCATCTGGGTTGCCGAGACCATGTCCTTCTGTGACCTGGACTGGTCATTCACAGAGCATCTTCTGCCCAGGGGGGCTGGTGGTCTGGAGATGGGCCCAAAGGCTAGATTCCATCAGGGAGATTCAGGGTGACCAGGGCCCAGCCCTGCCACCTTCTGCTACATGCCTGCCCTGCCCAGTCCCAGTAGGAGTGGGTGTGTGCAGTGGCTGGAGAATGCTTTAGCCCTGGGAAAGATGGGAACAATTGCTAACCAGGCAGAGCTCAGAGAAGGGGACATCCCAAGGCAGGGGGCTTTCTGAGGGGTCAGGCCTTGGTGACTCACTGCACTGAGGGCCTTAAACCCCCCATCTAGTAATACAGCCCCCTTCTCAGCTCTGCAGGACCAAGAGGCCCTATGCATGGTCACCTTCCCCACAGCCCAGGCCACACTGTAGCATGTGTTCTCTGCTTTGAGGGTGGACAAACAGCCTGGGATATGGGCTTTTAATGCCCAAATGCCATATTTGTAAGGACAGTTGTCTGGATGGCAGGGGGTGAAAGGAGAGAAAAAGTAATTGGGGCCTTTCTGGACGACCTGAAACATAGTTACCAACCCGTGGCATGGCTGGGTGAGGCTGGAGGGAGGTGACAGTCCCAACCTTGTCTGGGTGCTGCGGGGTCTGGGCTGGACTAGTAGCAGCCCCCTTGATGCCCCCTACATGCACATGGGACATCGCTGGGCCCAGTCTCCCTAGAGTCTAAAGCCCTAGTCCCAACTCAGTGACAAAGTACCCTCTGCAAAGGCAGGGAGGGAGGCCTGGGGAGGGAGACAGAGGAGTGTGGATTGTGGCTGGCCCCTTCATGGTACCCTGTTGGAGAGAGGAGGGGTTGCTGGAGGCCACTGGCATTTGGGGAACGGTTGAGCTTGAGGGTGTGTGGGGCTTTGGCTGGACAGGCTCTTCCTGCTCCCAGCTTTCACCACTCCCTCCTCTCTGTCACTGTCCTTTGCGCCCTTGTCAGAGTTGGAGAGCCAGTCCAGCCCGATAACCTCGTTTTCCTTGCCACACAGTTCACGACCTTTGAGCCCTGCAAGCAGCTGTGGTGCAGCCACCCTGACAACCCATACTTCTGCAAGACCAAGAAGGGCCCTCCCCTGGACGGAACCGAGTGTGCGCCAGGCAAGGTACCTGCAGCAGGAGCGAACTTCCTGGGGTCAAGCCTCCTCACCAAGTGTGTAATGAGTGTGTGGCGTGGTGGTGCTAGGGAACAGATGGGAGCCTGTGCACATGGAGGCCCCACACCAACTCTCACACACACATCCTTTCTTCTCTCCCACATCGCAGCCTTTGCTCCTATAGTAGGCAGAATTTGGCATCACCTCATAGCCCATCCAGCAGAAATGCTTACTCCCATTTCACAGATGAGGAGAGTGAGGCCCAGGCAGGTTAAGGAGCTTGTGGAGGTCTCATAGGGAGTGATTAGCAGAGAAAGGATGAAGAGAGGACTCCAGGTATCCTGCCTACAGCCCCCCCAAGGCTGTTTCTCCCACACACGTTCTCCCCCCGCAAACCTGACCTTTCATGTATTTTCCTGGTGTGTGTTTGCTCCTGCATGCATATGTGCGGGCCAGGGCTTCCTTTGTCAGGTTTGAGAGCCCTGAGCTGGGTTCTGAAACCCACCTCTGCTCTATTGTTGGCCCTGCTCGAATCACTGTGTAGTGACCTTGGGCCATTTATTGAACTTCTCCAGGACCTGCTGACCCCTGACCACACACACTGCCAACCCCTCATGTGTTTCTGAAGTCACTGAGTTGTCTCAAAACAAATGAGAGAGCTCAGAAGCAGAGCATTAACAGAGGTGTGATGATTACTCAGCCTCAGCTATGATCCCAGGCCCTGGGGACCCACCCCCACCAGCCTGTCCTCTGGCTTCTGTCCTCACCAGGCTCCTCCCACTCACATCCTGGGTCCCCCATAGCCTTGTGCAGACCCAGTAGTCTCTAGACCTGGCAGGCTGTTATTCTGGAGACTGAATGTGGCTGCTCCACACGTTATCACAGTTCCAGACCCTCTCCTGTCACTATTTCACATAACAGCTCATCAGTGGTTCTCAGTTTTGGCCACATACTGGGACCATCTGGGGAGCTTTAAAAGTCCCCACCCTCACATCAGGGAGTGACAGCATGTGGGGACGAGTTATCTCTTTGGGGTGATGGAAATGCTCTAAAATTGGATTGTGGCGACCGTTGCATAACACTGCAAATTTATGAAAAATCATTGAATTGTACACTTGAAATGAGTGAATTTTATGGTATGTAAAGTATATATTTGTTATGGTTTCTTTAAAAAAAAGATCTCTTCCCCTAGAGATTCTGATTCAGTGGGTCTGGGGTGAAGCCAAGGCATCTGAGGTTTTGATGGTTCCCCAGATGACTCCAAGGTTTGAGAATCACTGAGTTCTCCCTTGAAAAAGACCTGGAGAACTTTGCTGTATTTTTTCCAGTTGCCTTAGAGGAGAAGGGCAGGGAGGTAGTTTCGGTGGAGCCCTTTGTGCTTGGCCCTGCACTAAGGCCTTTGTAGGTGTAACTGCCTTTGGTTCTTAGAACAGCCTCATCTAGCAGGTGAGTAAATGGGCTCGGCAAGGTGAAATTATTCCAAAACCACACACAGCTAGTCATGGCTGAGCTGAGATTCAAACCCAGGCCTCTTAGACTCATGCACACACTCCCTCCCCTGCATGAATGGGCCTCCCTGTGGGGCAGGCCTGCCTCCCGTGAACACACCTGCCTTTGGCCTCTGGATGGGGATTTTGAGGTACAGAGCCAAGATCTACTCTAGATAATCTAGTGTAGGAAGACTGTGTCTTCTCACCCCTAGCAGCCCTGTATTTCTCCTGGGTTGGTGAACAAATTGCATAGTTATCATCAGTAGTGCTACCTGCCATTTCTGGAGGGCTGCGTGTGCCAGGCGTTATCTCACTGAATGCCCACAGCAGCCCCATGGGCAGGCACTGTTACCCACATGGTACAGTTGAGGAAGGCGCTCAGAAAGGGGAGCCCTTTTGCTGAAGGTCCCTCAGCTCATTGCANGCTTCTGTCCTCACCAGGCTCCTCCCACTCACATCCTGGGTCCCCCATAGCCTTGTGCAGACCCAGTAGTCTCTAGACCTGGCAGGCTGTTATTCTGGAGACTGAATGTGGCTGCTCCACACGTTATCACAGTTCCAGACCCTCTCCTGTCACTATTTCACATAACAGCTCATCAGTGGTTCTCAGTTTTGGCCACATACTGGGACCATCTGGGGAGCTTTAAAAGTCCCCACCCTCACATCAGGGAGTGACAGCATGTGGGGACGAGTTATCTCTTTGGGGTGATGGAAATGCTCTAAAATTGGATTGTGGCGACCGTTGCATAACACTGCAAATTTATGAAAAATCATTGAATTGTACACTTGAAATGAGTGAATTTTATGGTATGTAAAGTATATATTTGTTATGGTTTCTTTAAAAAAAAGATCTCTTCCCCTAGAGATTCTGATTCAGTGGGTCTGGGGTGAAGCCAAGGCATCTGAGGTTTTGATGGTTCCCCAGATGACTCCAAGGTTTGAGAATCACTGAGTTCTCCCTTGAAAAAGACCTGGAGAACTTTGCTGTATTTTTTCCAGTTGCCTTAGAGGAGAAGGGCAGGGAGGTAGTTTCGGTGGAGCCCTTTGTGCTTGGCCCTGCACTAAGGCCTTTGTAGGTGTAACTGCCTTTGGTTCTTAGAACAGCCTCATCTAGCAGGTGAGTAAATGGGCTCGGCAAGGTGAAATTATTCCAAAACCACACACAGCTAGTCATGGCTGAGCTGAGATTCAAACCCAGGCCTCTTAGACTCATGCACACACTCCCTCCCCTGCATGAATGGGCCTCCCTGTGGGGCAGGCCTGCCTCCCGTGAACACACCTGCCTTTGGCCTCTGGATGGGGATTTTGAGGTACAGAGCCAAGATCTACTCTAGATAATCTAGTGTAGGAAGACTGTGTCTTCTCACCCCTAGCAGCCCTGTATTTCTCCTGGGTTGGTGAACAAATTGCATAGTTATCATCAGTAGTGCTACCTGCCATTTCTGGAGGGCTGCGTGTGCCAGGCGTTATCTCACTGAATGCCCACAGCAGCCCCATGGGCAGGCACTGTTACCCACATGGTACAGTTGAGGAAGGCGCTCAGAAAGGGGAGCCCTTTTGCTGAAGGTCCCTCAGCTCATTGCAGGGTGAGATTCTGTGTAACCTGAGGCTTGTGCTCTTAATGACCCTTCCTCTGGGTTTACCCGTGGTGCCCATGCCCTTTTCTCCATCCCAGTGGTGCTTCAAAGGTCACTGCATCTGGAAGTCACCAGAACAGACTTACGGCCAGGATGGTGGCTGGAGCTCCTGGACCAACTTCGGGTCATGTTCACGGTCATGCGGGGGCGGAGTGCGATCCCGTAGCAGAAGCTGTGACAATCCTTTGTGAGTATGCTTGGCTGGGGTGGACACAGCAAGGACCCCTCTCCTCAGGCCTGAGGCGCTTGGAGGGGAAGGAACTGGGGGGCAGGACACAAGCGAGAAGGACCCCTGCAGGTTGTGTATTCTAATGGTTGAGGACCCGAAATTGTCAGGCAGAGGAGTGGGGAGGATCACTCCCACCTGGGTCTGACATCTCCCACTGGTCTGACATCTGAGAATGGGTTTGAACCAGTGATTTTCAACCTTGAGTGCAGAAGTTTTTCCCGGAGAGTCTGGGGTACCCAGGCCTCTGCCAGTTTAACAAGCCCTCCTGTGACCCTGATCCTCTGGCGAAACTTTGAGAAAACACTGATCTAAATTGCTTAGTAGTCATGTCTTGGGAGAATAAATACCCCAATTTTGTTTTCTACTATATGAAACGAAACTTTCTTTAATTTTTCTTAACTTAATTTTCCTTTCTTTAATTTTTCTAACCTCTTTCTAATATCAAGTGCCTCCTCTGACCTCCACCCAACTTTCAGCATTCTGGGGGAGCATTCTGTTTCTCCCTTATTACCCCCTCTATGGGGACCCCTGCCATGGTTTGGAACTTCTGAGCGCCAGGTCTGCATGGACTCCATCTCCCAGGCTGAAGCAGCCTGCTTACAACAGCCTAATGAGATTGGGGCTGGCTGGGGCTGGCATGTGGGCTGGCTGGCATGTGGGCCTGCTGTGTCCAGGAACCAGGGGCTCTGAACCACCTCAGGGTAGGGTCTGCCCACCCCTCATGCAATGAGTGATGGGCTGAGGACTGCAGGATGTCAGGGTCCTAGCACTGCACTGGCTCAGTAGCAGTCATCCCCCCCTCTAGCATCCTCAGAATAGGTCCTACGTACTCTGCTGTTTATCTCCAGGGATGGGAAGCTCACTACCTCCTGGAGCAGCCTGTTCCTGCAGATGGCTGTACTGACCTTCCACACACATGAGCCAAAGTGAACTGCCTTATAACTTCCACCTGTTGGGGGTGTGGAAGCTGGGGTTAGAGCAAGGCCCAGTCATGGTGCCCACTCTGAGTAAACCACCTTCCGGTCCTGGTGGATAGTTTTCCCCTTGATCAAAGCCACCAGTTATTGACTTCTCTGTAATAATAACTGTTTTTATTTTATGAGGCTTAAATGAAAGAATATGTGTACTCTCAGCACCATATTCAGTACAGATGAAGCCCTAATAAATGACAGCTGCTGTTATAATTATCAATCTATGGAGCACTTTCTCTGTGCCAAGTGGGATGCTGAGCACTTCTCTGCATAAACCCATGTAATTCTCCCAGAACTTCTGAATAGAGCATCAGTCACCTGGTGCACTCAAATACTTCGTATTAATAATCCTACCTAATCCTCTGAATTCAATGGAGAAGAGAGTACAGACTGCTTTAAATACCTGGTGTGCTCCAGACACACCAGGAGGTAGGTAAAATAAGAGGTATTATGGTCCCTCCTTTAAAGGGGAAATTAAGGCATAGCAAACAAAACTCATTGACTTACCCAGGATTGCACAGTCAGGACTTGGGTTATAGGAATAGTTGAGTCACCGACTGAATCCATATTGTAAGCCAGGCCTGTGCAATGGTTGAAAGAATATAGAGCTAAGATGCGTAAGACTGATTTTCCTTCCAGCCGGCTGGGAGGGTTAATCATTCCCATCTTCTCCACCCCCTCAGCCCCCCACCCCACCCCCAGGGGAATAGGTGGCATGTGCTTGAATGATGGAGCCAGTGATCCAGGCTTTGAGCTCAGCAGCCGCCACAGTGGGGGACCCTCTATAGTTTATCAGTTAGTAGGGCCCCTTTTTAAGCTAGCCTAAAGGGCTGAGTGCCATGTCGGAAGCCCAGCCCCGCCCAGCCTGCCCAGCCAGCAGGGTCACTGGATCTCCCTGTGCCTGCCCTAGCCCAGCCTACGGAGGCCGCCTGTGCTCAGGGCCCATGTTCCAGTACCAGGTCTGCAACAGCGAGGAGTGCCCGGGGCCCTACGAGGACTTCCGCGCCCAGCAGTGTGCCAAGCGGAACTCCTACTACATACATCAGAACGCTAAGCACAGCTGGGTCCCGCACGAGCCCGATGATGGTGAGTGGGCCCTGCTCCCCTCCCCTCCTACCCCCCGTAGCCTTGAGCATCTGCTGCGTCCATGTCTTGCCAGGCAGGGCCTCCCAGGCCTGGGCCCACCAGTGAAGGTAGAGGGACAGTGGGGTCACCAGAAGGGACACTGCATTTGGCAGGCTTGCCATGAACACCTGTGCAGACCTTCCCGTTGTGCGCCTCAGGGGGGCCATCGTCCTCATATAGTTACCCCTGATTTATATGCTTACGATGACTATTCTATGGAGATGCAAGAAGAGTGTCTCGAGCGCGGGCACTTCACCCAGAGGGGCTGTGAGGCTGGCAGCCGTGCTGGCTGTTGGGGTTGGTGTCTTTCACACATGCCCTTACCTGTCCAGGTAGGCCTAGTACAGGTGCAGGCACCCCTTGCTTTGCAAAACAAACGTCTTGAGAAGCTTGGTCCTATCACATACCATGGTTTTAGGTTTTACTGATTGTGCCACCATTTCAGCACTTAATGAAAATGATATGAAAGGCAGACTGATGAGAACCTGTGGGATCCTCATGCAGACACCCTCCAGGCTGCTCTAGGACAGACACAGGCCTCGGGACTCGCAGAGGGGACCAAGACAGTGCTAGTGCATCTGCTGGGGAGCACTTCTGGTGATGGCTCTTGTAGTGGCAGAGGGAAGCAGTGAAGGGCTGGATTTATGGTGCCGTAGAGCCTTCAGGCTGAAAGGGCCCTTAACAGTTCTTTGAGCGCAGCTCCCCCTGCTACCCTCTCCATGGCCCTTCCACAGACTAATGCCCACTCCTAGCACGCAGCCCTCAGCCTCAGACCATGCCGATTAGAACAGCTTTTCCTCTCCAGGCCCTGGCCACCTTTTTGTAGCCCTGGTTCCAGAGTATCAATGGCAGGACCCTCAGCTGTTCAGCTCACATTTAGAATGACAGTCTTCAAGTTGAAAGGGACCTCAGAGGCCTCTCCATTGCCCCCCGGTACCCATACCCCTCAGGAACATGTTTATAGGGAGTGTCTTCCCTCTGCTTGTATTCCTTGTGCTCTGGGGAGCTCACCACTCCCTTGCCACTGTAGGTTGTCTTCCATGGCAGCCCTGAGACCCACCCACCTGGGGCATGGTGGTCAGGGTACCTGTCTTTGGGACGGTTGGAGCGCCCACCCTTTGGCCCCACCAGGTCCCACCAGGAATCTGGCTCCTGTGTGTGAAATCCAAATTGGTATTGGATGTTGTGGCTCTGGACTCGAGTCCTGAGTGCTGGGGCAAGACGTCACTAGGTATCCTGGGAACCCAGGGCCCAGAACAGGAGCCCAATGTTTCCTTAGCAATTTGGTTGAGTGAGCGGCTTGCTTTGAAAGCCTTGCAGATCCTGTCAGAATCCAAACAACCACTGCAGCACAGGGTGGGGAAGGGCTTTGAGGGGTGGGGAGGCTGATGGGGCAGCTGCACTTTGGGTTTTCCCAGGACTTTGAGACAAATTCCAGGAAATTAGCTAAGCCTCAATCTCCCATTTTCTAAGAAACACAGTGAGTGTTTATATGTTCTCTGGGACCTCCTTTTTAGGACATCAATAGCCCAAATAGAGAATAGAACATTTAATTGTTAGAACTAGAAAGGACCCCTCCCCTCCTCACTGCTGCTCCATTTACAAACCCACACACAGACCATTGTTCTGCCTGCCTTTTACACAGCCTTCTAACATTTCCAAGCATGTTGAGATACACCATCATATGTGTGACTGGTGACATGTACGTAGAGATTAGAGCAGGACCCAACCAGACTGCCTGGGCTAGTATCCTGGCTCTTCCACTTACTGTGTGGCCTTGTACAAATTCTTCAACCTTTCCAGTCCTTGATTTCCTCCTCTGTACTGTTAGAACCTACTTCCTTGGGGGTATAGAGAGTTTAAATGAAGTAATTCACCAAAAGCATTTAAAGGCTTCCATCAAAAGTGTGTAATGGTGTGGAGGTATCTGGCACATAGTCAGCATTCTCTATGTGTTGGCTTATTATTGTCGTCATTATTATTTTATCACCTGATTTTTCTCAACAATCTGATGTGGCATTTTACTGATCAAGGATAATAAATAAACTGAGGCTTGAAGGGGTCAGATATAATTTGCCCAAGGTCACATGGCTAATGAATAAGTGACACAGCATGAGTTTGAAGCCCCAGCCCCAGCTCTCCCTACTGTCCAGAGCTGGCCCTGGAGCTTCCAGTTTGGCCCTGTGCTGATGTTGCCCTTGTCCAGCCCACTTTCTCAGCATCGCCCCTCTCCCCACAGACACCCAGAAGTGTGAGCTGATCTGTCGATCGGAGGATACGGGGGATGTGGTCTTCATGAACCAGGTGGTCCATGATGGGACACGCTGCAGCTACCGGGATCCCTACAGCGTCTGTGCCCGCGGCGAGTGTGTGGTAGGTGACCCCCTCCAGGCCACCCACTCTGCCAACCCTGGGAGGCCAGAGAGCTCCACCCCTTGCCCCTTCTGCCCCCTACAAAGACCTGCGTTGCCTCACTGTCCCCACCCTTGACATCCCTTGGTCCTCAACATAGCCTGGGTATGCTAGAAGGGGGTTATAGCCTAGCCCCATTCAAGACGAGAGGAGTAGCCAGTTTTGCCCATGTCACATGCAAGTTTGTGACAGAGTCCTGTCCAGGAATGTCTCTTGGTTCAGGGTCCTCTCGTGTCTGGGGCCTGGGGACCAGGGAAGGGGCCACAGACTGCTGACCCAAGGATGGTGATAGGGGCATGGGAACCTCCTCTCACTGACCCCACCTCTGGCCTCAGCCCGTCGGCTGTGACAAAGAGGTGGGGTCCATGAAGGCAGACGACAAGTGTGGGGTCTGTGGCGGTGACAACTCCCATTGCCGGACTGTGAAAGGGACTCTGGGCAAGGCCTCCAAGCAGTCAGGTAAGCAGGCTGGGGCTGGAGGGATGACCAGGAATGACTGGGGTGCCCTTCCTCCTGGAGCTGGGCCATAGCTTATGGTGGGGAGAAGGGGCCTTGAAGCCTGTCTCCAGACCATCCCAGACTGCCCAGGGCTGGTGAGCCAGAAGCTATAGCTGGTCACCGCATTTACTAGGCAATCTGCTACCTGTGTTTGGGGCCAGGAGCTCAGAAGCGGTTTCCTGCTAAGCAGTGTGTGGTAATAAGAGTCAGCCATCTCTCGGCTCAGGGGCTGTTGGTGGGAGTGAGGTGCCAGACAGGTCTGAAAGTGTGGCCCAGGCTGAACTGGTAGTGCTTTTCCTCTCTCCTCTCTCACTTTAAAAACACATGTGGTGCCTCATGCTTTGAACTCCTGGTACTTTTGAGTTCCTTGACTTTCCTTCCCACTTCAATCTTGCCAAACTTGCTATTGAAAAGACCAGATATTAGTCCTTTACATTTTAGTATGAACTAGATCCATTTCCCCTTGGGGGATGTTACAGCTCTACCCCGCCTCTCTTTACTGAGAGAAGAGTGGTGGCTCTGGGAAAGGTCTGTTACCAGGCCTCGGACTGGGAGGGCCGTGAGGGCCCAGGGCAGCCATGCTGGACCTTCATGGTCTGCTTTGTCTAAATCCCTGCAGTGGCTTAAAGGGTGAGAAGAAAGGGGGGAGGGAAAATCCAGAGAGAAGAGGAGGGTCAAGAAAGTGGGAAATAACAGCAACTAACACACACAGCCGCCTAGAGTTCATAGAGCATCTTTAGCTACAGCAGCTCATTTGCTTCTGTCAACACCTTGTGGGGAGGGGCCCATGCCTATTTTACAGATCAGGAAACTGAGGTTCCTGGGTACCTATGGGGGAGGGCGCAACAGGGCATGCTGGGTGGTGGGACCACCAGCTCACGATGCTCATGGCTTTTCTGGGTCCTTCTCTGGCAGGAGCTCTCAAACTGGTACAGATCCCAGCGGGTGCCAGGCACATCCAGATTGAGGAGCTGGAGAAGGCTCCCTACCGCATTGGTGAGTGCCAGGGTGCTGGGAGAGGGGCTGCTAGGCCCGGGAGCTGCCCGCAGGTTTGGGGATCTGGGAGAGTACAGGAGAGGATTCTAATGCAGGGAGGAGTTCACAAATTTGAGTAATATCAGAGAATCCCTTTTTATTTTATTTTTCTGTGCTTCAGCCATTTGGACTGGGCTCCCCTCAGTCCTGCTTCTACCTCATTGCCTGGACTCACTCGTGCAAATGCAGTCACCTGGTGGGTCTGTAGGGACCTGGCTAGTACTCGCTGTCAGCTGGGGTTGTGGGGCTGACAGGGCTAGGTCCTCAGAAGGCTAGCCCAAGGTTATATATGTGGTCTCTGTCACATGTGGATCCTCAGGAGTGGTGAGAGCAGGCAAGCCCAGGGTAGAAGCACTTTTTGTTGCTGTTAATTCTCACTTGAGGATATTTTTCCATTGATTTTCAGAGAGAGTGGAAGAGAGGGAGGGAATGGGGAGAGAGAGAGAGAGAAAAACATCAATGTGAGAGAGACACATCGATTGGTTGCTTTCCACACCCACCCCGATCAGGGCCGAGGATTGAACCTGCAACCCAGGTACCTGCCCTTGACTGGTAATCGAACCTGTGACCCTTTGGTCCACAGGTCGGCGCTCTAACCACTGAGCAAACTGGCCAGGGCTGGAAGCACTTTTTAAGTCTATTTGTGTCATGCTTTCTTTTCTAAAAAAAATTTATTTATTTATTTTAGAGAGAGGAAGGGGGAGAGAGAAGCAGTGATTTGCTGTTCCACTTATTTATGCATTCATTGGCTGATTCTTGTATGTGCCCTGATGGGAGATCCAACCCACAACCTTGGTGTATCAGGACGACACACTAACCAAATGACATACCTTGGCCTAAAAAGTCATGCGGCCAAGCCCAGACTCAAGGTGTAGAAACAGACCATCTCTTGGTGGGAAACATGATAAAATCACAGCACAAAGGGGCCTGCATACAGGAAGAGGAGGAATTTGTAGCCAGTTTTGGAGTCTACCACGTGGACCCTTAAATTATTCTCATTATAATGACAAACATAGCCACTAAACTAGATGCCTCCTCTTTATATTTGTAACAGTTGTACAACTGCATAGTCAAGGCAGACTAAAAG